CAAGACATGGTCGTAGTCAGGGCATTTGAGGAGAGCCGGGTAGCTGGCGCTCATCTGGAGCGAAGCGTCACTCGAGATGTCGGAGGGACTTCGCCCGCGGGACCAGACCTCCGGGTGGAGGAACTGGCTAGAGTGGTCGGAGCAGTTGCTGAGACGGGGGCGGTAGAAACCGGGGTGGCGAGGCTGGTAGAGCTCCTCTGCTGAGTAGCGCTTCATGAACAGGTAGACGGACATGACGCCTGCACTCTGCAGGGGGTAGAGGGACACATTAGATTGAAACAAGGAAACAAATCAAACTATAGGAAACAAATAATGTGCTCAGAAGTGCCTTCATGTTGAAACAATTCAGTTTGCAATAAAAACAAGTCCACACAGCACCAAAATGTTGTTCCCAATGCCTTTCTCTTTATACATTCTCTAAGAATAGATAGCTGAAGAACTGTGAGACGATAACCAAAAATATGCAAATTGCTGTCTGCACCTTAAACTGATTGTTTTCACTCATTTGTTTTGTAATGATTCAGTTGGATGATTTCAAAGTTATCACCCTAAACATTGTTATTTCTTTATCTTATATCAAATTAGTAATAAGTGGTAATTATTGATAGTAATATCAACCATCATGATTTGTGTGTTTGTTAGCCATTATTTTGTGTTGCAGTTCCCATCTTTGACCACTGCAGGGCAGTAAACCATCACGACTGATGAAGGTTGTGGCCACTTTTAGAAGGTACGTATGTCAAATGTAATGAATACAACAGCACTTCAAAGACACATGTCTTTACGAGGCTCATATTGTCAGAAATGTGGACATTGAAGGAGGGAGGGTGGGTTTTTGCAACAACAAAGTCAAGGACATTTTTGAAAATGATCAGCAGTGCATTGAAAGAGTTTTCCTTTAAGTTACAACTAAAAAGGGTAATATATTTGTAATGTTTTGGTGTATGTTTGTACACTGATGTAAGAGGCTCTTAGTTTCATATGTTGTTCACTGGGTTCAAATATTGTATGTTGTGCTTTGATCACAGCGATACCCAACAGCTGAACATGTCAATGTGTCACTCACCTTGGTCAGCAGAAAAGAGATGGCAGCGAAGGCAAAGGACCAGCCGTACTTGTAGATAAAATAGGCCTCACTGCTCCTAATACTGTTCAGCATTTCATCATTTATACTGGAGATGTAGAGCACCAGACCCACCACCAGAGCCAGACCTGACAAATGGATACATTCAAATGTAGTTTAACAAAAACAGGAGAGAGCACAGAAATGTGACAAGAAATAGAGAGATGATCTGAGTACCTGAGAGGATGAAGAAGATCCCAGAGACAAACGCCAGGATGGTGCGGTGAGGCCGGATGTGGCCGATGTTGTTGAGGACGAAGCCGATGAACATGAAGAAGAGGCTGACCAGAGGGAACGGAGTGGCCGAGCGAATCATCTCTGAGGAGAGGAGGACAACTGCTGTTTAAAACCAAAACATGCAACAGAAGAGAGGAACTTTGGGAATGTTTTGTTGATCTATCTTCATTATAAAGCAGCTTTTTTAAATTCCTCATTCGTCAGGTTGGAAAAGTGGTCTCTTTGGAGGAAGGGGGAACAGTCAATCTTGAAATATTCAGAAAAGAAGCGTAATCATTGTCTGCTATTTGGCCAGATTTGTACAACATCAGAGATTACACTGACTTAAAGTGGATTATTCCTGAGGTAAAGCTTTGGCTCACTGAAGGACATCTGAGATGAATTGTCTATAATAAAAAAAAGGTAATAGGAGAGGGACGAGGCTACAGGGTTCAGGTGACTCACAAGCCGTATTACAAAACAACACTTTTTCTTATGAATATGCCAAACGCTGTTTATGTGTACAATCTCAGGGGGGCACCTTGAGTTATTTAGGCGGGAGTAACTTACTGAGCACGCTTCCTGTGGACTCTGACGTCAACTGGACATTCATGGGCATGATGTAGGCGATGGTGAAGCAGCGACCAGATTCCTCACCTAATACATAGAGACAAAATTGAGGTGAGAAAGAAAGGAGGAGAGAAACTGGGAAACAAAAAAAAAGGACAAAAACAGGCAGACAGGACCAAGAAGACCCCAGCTGCTGATGCAAGGAATGTTTAACTATTTTGAAACAACACTTATTTACTTCCTATCTTCTTAGGATAGGTTTAATCCGACTCATATGTCCTGTACATGTATCATAGCCTGCATATAAAGGCATCATAATCCCCTATAAATCAACCTTGATTGTTTTCTTGTATTTTAAATAGACATATTCAGGATGAACTCTCCTAGTTCAAAACTTAAAGTTTTTCTAAGAAAAATATTTCTTTACATAAGAGTGCGTTACATCACATTCTGCCAAGACAGCTACACAGTCATTATTATCACTTCATCATTGTCACATACAGACTCCAGCCGGAGTTATCTGTGGCACGATGAGATGAGATCATTCTCTGAAGACTTAAAGGTGTAAGTATGGTGTGTGTGTGTGTGTGTGTGTGTGTGTGTCTGTGTGTCTGTGTGTGTGCATGTGTTTGTGTTTGTTTGTATAATTATTCTGCAGGACTAATTTAAATTGAACGCACCTTGTTTTACAGTGTGTGATTAAAACTGGGAAGTAAACCACACTTTTTAGCTTTCTGTTGCTTTCTCTCTTTACACACACACACACACACACACACACACACACACACACACACACACACACACACACACACAACACACTACACATGCTCACGCTGATGAAGTCATTGTGAATGTCATTCTGTGTGAATGTCAAAGCTGGCTGATGCAGTGTTGATATGTGAGCGTGACAGGATGTTCTCTCTGCCTCTGCCATAAAAGCTGCGCAGTATGAATGGACCTCCTTGAACAAAGATCTTACCACACTAAACTCCATTACATGTATCTGAGGAAAACCTAAAAACAAGGTTCACTGACAAAAGCCTGTCCTAAACCGTGGCAGTGCATCACCCCAGACCCAACCCTCACCGGCCAGGAAGCAGACTCTCCAGAGGCCGGAGTGCAGCGAGGTCTTGATGACAATGCTCTGGTTCAGAGGCAGAATGACGCCCTCCTCCAGGTACAACCAGTAGTCGGTGCTGACCGCCACTCCCAGCAGCCCCAGGCCACTGATAGCAAACACACTGCTCAGCAGAGTCAGGGCCTTCCTGCTGCACGAAGTCATGGTGACAGTGAGGGAGCTTCCAGCTGTGGTGGTTACAATCCAAAAGCGATCTGGAGGAGGAGAAAAGGGAAAAGAAGAATTACTGGCAGAAATGTTAGGAAAGTTGGATGTGGACATGGTTGAAAAAGGAAAAAACACACACAATACATTATTAGATAAATATGAATTAATACAGACACACAACACTATGTTATATTACCATGAAATTATGAAAGAGTGTTATATGCTTCAGGTTATTTCTATTAATTCCAACAGTTTTTATTTACTATATATATTCACATTCAACTGACATTGGTGCATAATTTTCAACACCATGAGTTATACATTTGACACATTTCTTGCAATGATAAGCTATGCAGTTTTTCCCCCCAGGGGGGACTTGAGAGTGTCATTGAAACTATTGAGCATAGTGTGAATGACAACACGTCAATGTCAACCCTATAATATCATGATCTACAGTGCAATAACCTATGGTGACCCTCAATAAAATACTACTACTAAAGTACATGTTAGCTATAGTTAGTATAGTGTAGTAACCAGGACATTGTACACGACACACATGCAACAACTGAGATTAAAAGAACTCAAAACAAACATCATAAGTCATCGGAGAATATGTGAAACCCATCAAATATAACAGCAAAGGTTACAAAAATAAAATCATGTGACTAAAGCATGCAAACACTTGTTCTTACGTGGCTGTCTGCAGTTTCGGTGTGGTCTGTCACACACGTGAAGGAAAGGTGCAGAAAGTTTTGTAGTAAAACTACGGGGAAATACTCTCTGTTTGTTCAGTGGCGAGTTGTAAGAAAACGACTCCAACTTATTGGTCGCAAATTCCTTCAGAGAAGTGAAGCCGAGAGAAGCTTTAAGAAGCAAGAGACGATGCAGCAGTGCATCAGTGCTCAACACTGTCCACAGACTGAGTCAGAGAGAGAGAGTGGGAGATAAAGAGAGAGAGAGAAAGTGTGGGGGTGAGGGAGAGAGATAGAGAGGAAAGAGGGAGAGAGAGGGAGAGAGAAGCGGGAGAGAGAGAGAGAGAGAGCAGAGGAATATAGCAGAGATAGAGAGAGCGTATATAGAGAGAGAGTCGTCTCTCATAGTCCCCGGCTTCGTCGAGTCTCGTCTGGAGCTCTGATGGGGAGTTAATGCCTGATTGTTTAATGTGACCACCCCACGACCGACTTCTTGGTACAGGAAGTTCATGAATGCAGAAAAATATAAACAGATACATCACTGCATGTCAAACACACTTACTGAACAATAGATTAGTAATGGCAGCTTTATTGGCTACAATGCTATGGCTTCCATAAGATGACATAAGATAACATAATACTTTTTTTTCTTAGTTCGGAATTACAAAATATTCAGTACATTAAACATAATAATAATAGTAACAATAATAATAATTAAACTGTACACCATGAGTACAGTAAAAATAGCAAATTAAACTACAAAAAAAGATGCACAAATAATGACTGTACATGGGATTTCTTGTATTTGCTTTTAATTCAAATATATATTCTAAACAAGGGATGCCTTATGTATTTATTTGTTCTAAAAAAATAGGTTGAAAAAAATATATTGAACTCGTGTTGAACATGTATTATTATTATTATGAGGTAGTGGTTTGTATTTCATGTGTACCTACTAGGAAGTGTCCAATTTGGCAAGTTTATTTTATAATGTTGCATTTCTTGCTTTTTAATACCTGTCATACTGCTATTATGTGAGAAATCAGAACAAGGATGCTGAAGCGGAACCAAATCTCTGCAGCGCTAGTTTCCTTCAGAGCCTCCTAAGCGTCACGGACGACCGGAAGTGGTGGTCGTAAAATAAACAAGCATCACATTTCCTATTAAGTCTTTATTCGCAGGTCACGACTATCTGGTTAATCTTTAAAATGAAACCTGACTCCCACGGGGGATTTCTTTAAGGTGAGGTATGTTTATTGATTTTTTATTTTATATTTGTCATGCCGCCATCGATTTCGAAGATAACCTGGAAAGCCATCTGCTCCAGATTCACAGCGATCGGTTGCTTAAAAACATGGAGCCTATAGGACACAATTATTACGCTTTGCATGGTCGGATACTGAGACAATGGGGCCATGGGCACACAAACGCAAAAGGCCCCTCCACCTTAAACAGAAGCAAGACTTACACAGTTTACACTTGTTTAGCATCTCGTTGTTGTCCTTTTGTGTCCCATTCAAGTCGTTGGGCATCTATCTGTGGTATTGTCTCATTGTGGTCGTTTGGCCCATTTTTGTAGTTATTCTATACTTATTTGTAGTTAAGCGTCTCTTTGCTGTTGTTTTGTGTCGCTTTGTTGTCATTCGAGTCTCATTAGTAACTTATTTTGGTTCGTTTTACCCCTTTTCGTAGTTCGTGCGAGTCGTTTGGCTCACAGTTTTGTTTGTATTTATTTAAGAAGGAACAATGTACGTTATTTAACATGAGCACTTATGTCCAGCATGTAAATGTGCCAGATGTAGCCATAGAGACTTATTTTCACTTGTAGTCCCTGGCATGTTAATTGCATTGAAAGAAAACATAGATGAGCAAATACACATAGAGAAAACACTTGGCAGCACATAAGCCCCGGTAAAGAACATTAGCAGGATTTAAACACTAAGCACAATTGACTAACGTTTGCGGCATATATAAAGCACATGTACCCATTTAAAAGCCCTCCTTAAAAACCTATTAACACACAGCAGGCATAAGCACATACTTAAGCAAAGATAAAACCTCATATGCTCAGACGGTATGAAAAACAACGATATGACCTATTCTCCAGAATATGACAGCAAGTTTGGTTGTCCAGTAACCTCTCTTTTACAGATTTGAAAAAAGGGGTTGAGAGATGTTTTGTTTCCTTAGCGTGTCCGTTTTGTATCTCTTTGTAGATTTCCCATTTACTTAAATTCATCAAGAATTTTCTCTGTTTTTCTTCCTCCTAGTTTACCGTGGAGGCATGTCAGAAGTTTCATTAGAAAATTCAAGGTGAGTAATTTATATACAAATGGTCTTTTTGTAGTTTAAGTATTCCTTTAAGTTTCATCTAGCAGCGTTTTATTTTGCTACTTCCAGATGGTTCTTATTCCTTCATAATATGTTGTAGTCCTGTATCTATCCAAATGTTAACTACATGTTCTCTCTCTCTCAATGGATGCAGTCAGGTCTAAAAGTGCAGAATGGGTGTGTTGCACTCAACACAGAGTAAGGAAGGCGAAAAGTGTCAGCATGGTAGGAGACGTCTTTTGATTCTTCCTTTTATACAATAGAAAATGATCTAAAAATATATTTCATAATTATATTTAACAAATGATTACATGCCTCTAAACAAAGTTGTGTGATGAAGTTGGTTTTATTCTAAATTGTGTAAGATTATAATCAGTTCCTATTGTTTTTTGGTCTCCTTTATTATTAATAATCTGTATCAGTCCTGACCAAACCATAACCCCCAATTGTGCTTTTCAATATTCAATTTGCAGTTACAGAAGTAGTCCAAGCTGACGGCAACAGTAGTGAAGAGGAAACATCGACAGCTACCACACAACAAAGAGATTTGTGGAGCATTGAGGGAGATTCCACTGTGCACATGTCTGACAACAGTGCCACTAAAATAGGAGCGGGGATGCCAGAAGGTTCCAATAAGTTGAAGATTTGTGTTACAGACGATGTTAACATCATGAAGCTGGTTTCAGGCATTGCAAGTGATGGCACAACTCAGTCCCCTAGGGAAAGAGGGTGTCCAAAACTCACAAAGCACGAAGAGCATGAAGAATCGGGAGATGTCCATGCTGACATTTCTGTTCAAACTCAAGTTTCCCAGGAACAGGCCAGTAATGAAGACAGCCTTACGAGTCCGACAGACCAATCTCTTAAGAAAAGAGGCAGGCCAAGGAATTCTGAGACGGCTGATGTCAAAGACTCACCGAAGGGAGACTCTGAAATACCAACAACGGGTCGTCCAAAAGGATCCACGAAGCACAAGTTAGAATGTTTAACAAGTGAAGAGAATGAGAGACCGACGCGGGGGTCCGAGTTGAGCAGTGAGGAGGACGAGGAAGAGGAGGAAGAGGAGGATGATGATGATGATGATGATGATGGAAGCCTATACTCTCCAATAAGGAAGAAAGGTCGACCTAGGAAGGTGGTAACACCAGTGGGGTCAACACAGAACACATCAAATGAAACCCCAGAGACGGCTAAAAGAGGGAGGCCGAGAAAAAGTATCGTACAGGAGAGCGGAGATGAACAGGAGCCGCCAGTTAAGAAGGCAATGGGTCGACCGAAAGGATCCACGAAGCACAAGTTAGAATGTTTAACAAGTGAAGAGAATGAGAGACCGACGCTGGGGTCGACACAGAACAAGAAGAAGGCAATGGGTCGACCGAAAGGCAGTTTCAAAAAGAAGGTGCTCGATGACGAAGGCCAGCCTGAGAGTAGCCCGCCCCAAAAAGTTCCAGCCAAAAAGGGAAGGCCACGAAAATATCCTTTGCCCACCCTTGAGGAGCTGAATGCGCCAAAAGTACAGAAGAAGCTTGGAAGGCCTCGCAAGAGTTTACCCGCCTCTTCATCCTCACCAAGCAGGGATGTTGACACCCCAAAAAAAAGGGGTCCCCCCCCAGGTACTCCAAAAAGTGACGTTGGTACCCCAAAAAAAAGGGACCGTCCTCCAGGTAATCTTAAAAGTGATGTTGGCACCCCAAAAAAAAGGGGCCGCCCTCCAGGTACTCCAAAAAGTGAAGTTGGCACCCCGCATAAGAGGGGTCGCCCTAGAGGTTCAGTCAGACAAAGTGATGCCAAGCTCAAGACCACCCTCACCGAACATTCAGAAGGAAGTGATGCATCTTCTGATGGGGAAGAGTCGGTAGAATAGGAGGTGGGGCGAAACACAAAGACATCCAACGAGCACGGGACAATACAAACAAATCCCTTATTCAGGATGTAAGCCAGGGATTAGTTACCAAATGTGAAATAATCAAAACATGTTTTGTTTTATTTGATCAATTGGTTTACGTAATTTTTTCAAACAAAAATGGAATATTCCCTGATTTGAGCTTCTAAAATGTGAAAATATTTGTGTTTTTGTACTACTCTTTGACAGTAAACTGAATATCTTTTAGTTTTGGTAAAAACAAGATGTCTCATATTGTCATCTTGAGCTTTGGTTAACACTGAGCAACATTTTAACAATTTTCTGACATTTCGAGACCATGACTGACAGATTAATCAACAATGAGGAATAGTTAGTTTCAGCCCTACTTGGAAGTTTGTGACCAGAGGAACCATCCTGGACTGACCCAAAAGTTGCTGTTGAAAACATAGAATACCATTTTGTAAATGAAAAAGTGTTTTTGACATTTGTTCAGTTAGGTAGGCTTCTTCAGATTTACTTCCATGTGGTTTGAATGGGCTTATTTATTTATTTTAAAGTATTTTATTACTGTCATCTTGAGTTTTTTTTAATAGAGCTAGTGTACACTTTCAAGTTTATCATTATAAACTGATTGTGACATTTTTCATGCAGTGTTCAGATGTAGTATTAGTCAGTTTGACTGTAACTGTGAAACGGTTTTACTTCCCAGTTCTGTGAAATGATTTAGAAGGAACAAAAGTTGAAACTTTGGAAAGTTAATACAAAAAGTGAAACTAGAGAGAGGTGAAGTTCTGATATCACCTCTGTTCCGAATAGCTACTGTAACTCAAAACAATCTGCATTTCTGAAATGAATAGTGTGATCTTGGGGTGAACTACCTTTTTTTCAGGACATACTAGCATATATAAACGGAGCGATATCAAACATTTTTGCCAAGTGATTTTCAACTTTGACCTGTATGTGGCATGTTAAGAGTAAAGAGGTGACTACATGTGAACATAATGTTTTGATTACATTAGTATTTTTAATTTTATAGTGTAAAAAGTCTAAAACGGGTCACTTCTAGCTATGAGCCTACAGAGAATTATTGTTGAATAATTCTCATTGTAAAGTTTTAATGTTTGTTCACCCACTGCTTTTATGGCACCATTTTCAGCCCCAAAAGGCAGCGGTCTTTAGCACAAAAAGAAAAACGTATAAATAGCCGATGTACAAAGGAGAAGGACAAATGAAAGGACCAGCTGGAGCATGAGCAACTAAAGAGCCAGATGTTTCTCTCAGGAGTTGGTGAAGACCAAAACTGAGCTTAAATCACGGAGTGAATATTGAAATATTCTCTCAAACAAGACTCCTAATGACTGATGATGTTTTCTGTGTAACTGCCTGATGTGGAAATAAGCAACACTTTGTCATATTGTTACATACAGTATAGAAAGCTTTTTATTTTGTATTTTTATAACTTCGGACCGTCATGATGTAAACTTCTTAATTTACTTGATTTTTGGCACCATAAGTAAATGTGTGTCATGACCTGGACATCATTATTATTTTAAGTCAATAAGCTAGTAATAAGTTAGTTGACATATTTCCATTTTGTGTGTTTTGAACAAGATTGAAATAAAATGTTGATTTTATTTTCTAAAATGTGGTGTATTTTTTTACATTTCTTAAAGTCAATGTCTATTCCTTTGTTTACCTACAGACAGTTACATAACCTTAAAATATAAACAACACAGTGGCATTTTCATAAAATATTTAGCTAATTTCACAAATGATTTAAGTTCAGTAAAAACATTGGCTGTGTCTCTTAATACCTCATAGTAATTTAACACCAATGCACTCAGCAGACGGTACTTATTCTGTATTTATTCTAATGTAATGTAAATGATTTCTTGCTCTGGACGGTGTGATCACATGGCTACAGTACATGAACTGTAGTACACATATGCATGATCCAGCATGTCAAATAGGACATTTTGCACACTAAATTGTTGAAATCATGGGAATTTTTTTCACAAATAACTGCCAGAATATTAACAATAACACCTTGTTCCTCTGAAATAATATTACATATCAAATATTGGATGTTAACTAAAAACCTCAATATCTTTATAGAACAATAATATAGACATCAATCCACACTTCAGAAGTGAAGCTGAAGTGAAACGATTTAGGCAGAACTACAGCCACTTCAGACTTCCCTTCCCAAAATAAAACAGAGCAGGTTAATCTTTTTCATACTTTATTAATACACAGTATCCATCATACCACAAACAGAGGAACAAAGAATCAGGTTAACAAAAGCAGGGGCAGTGGAAGGAAACACATAGAAAGTTCCCTGTGGCTCTAACTGTAGTGGTACTGTACCCTGACGTGTGATTATCTCTGCCGTGGGTCCAAAGTTTGTTTTTGTTTTCCTCTTCCTCTGCTCCGATAAAGATTCTCAATGTGAGACATGTAAACATTCAGTTTTCTCTTAACCTTACATTTTGGTCCGGATGTGACAGCTGCGACATCAGTCTACATGTTCAGCAACTAATTCAGGGGTTAAGAGTCAATTTGGCAGTTTTATGAAACATTACTGTTGTATCCATTGTGTGCCTAGCCTAATCAAAATGTCCGGGAACAAAAAGACTCAGGGTTGGCACCAGTAAACAAAAAGCCAACAGAAGCGTTTACACATATTAGTCTTGTTTTGTCCGACTACATGACACTGGGTGGGAGGAAAAGAGAAGCGCACAATGCTTGTTGGTTTGTCTTATTCTGTGCAACAAGGTGGGGAAACTCCATGCTCCATGATCTCGTTTTCATGCAGGGGTCTTTCTCATGCTTAGATCAGGCCTCGCCTCACACATGCACACAATTTATACAAGTTAGAGAAGACATGTTTCAGCCACAGAGGGCTCCGAAATCCTCGTACCGTTGCTCTGTTTTAAATTTGTTACAGAAGGAGTCGGCCCTGAGACGACCAAGGCAAGAGGGCATTCAACTGTTTCACGCACAGTAGGTGCTGCATATTCGCCATGACACTGAGTAGTAGAAAACGATGGATAAATAGTGGAAATACAAGGTTTGCTGATACCGAAGCTACCAAAGATTCAGCCAAACATTATAGATATACTCTTCTTAGGGGTACTCTAAACATAGAAATGTTCAAACTGTCTACGGTAGTAAAAGCACATTCAGTTCGTAGTATAAAATCTGCAAGTAACTTCTCTTTTTGAAACATATTTACAAAACAAAAAAAAAGGTTGACATACAATATAATAGAGGGTTTTTTCTCTTGATGTAAAAGCAGGACATAAAACGGGAAGTAAACCTTGTTTCTGATTAACAATTACAAACCAGAATAAGACTTTTTAAAACATACAACAAGTATATATTAACATAGTTTATAGCATAATACTAAACTTTACAATGATACCAGACGTGTACTGCATCCTAGAGTCTACTGCTCACACAGAGTCAGAAAAGTAAGCATGCAACTGAGATCTGCTTTGTGCATATAGAAATAGCATCTTTATACTTTAAAACATTGTCTCTTTGATCCACAGTTTTCTGACCCTACTGAACTGCACTGCATTAAAAAGGCCTAGACAGCTTGCAACTGTAAGCATAAGCAGAATGTGTTCCTGGTTATCTATGTTAAGTTATAGCTATAGCTCCACGTCGTACAAAACAACAAAAAGAAACATGCCCTGTTTAGGGGTTTTAGTGCGTCGGGAGGGGAAAAACATCATGATGACTTTAAGAACTGCAATAGAAATGATTACTTCCCACCTTTCCTTTGGCACTCATGTAACAGTATAGGCTAATACCTCTTTTTTTTTTTTGTATATAAATATAAAATACACGTGTAGCGGTTCAGAAGTAGATAAAGCCGGGACAGAGCAGAAAAATGTGTTCCGTTCTTGTCGTGCATTGCAGCTTGTTGCGTAGTTAAGACGGGGAACATAAGAAAGGAACATTTGCATCACAGAGTAACTCATATACACATTCATACACAAGAATAAAAGGCTGCAGGTTCGGATAAACACAGTTAGAGATTTGATTTAAGAACATATTATATGAGATGTTAAGGGAAAGAAAATATCAGTGCCATGTTCTTTTTCTTCAACACTTTGCTCCGCTCTCAGTCACTTCTTCACACATATTGATAACCAGCAAACAGCAGACAGAACACTGTAGAGGATAATGAGAGTCTTTTGACGGCGGGTTCGTTTTTGTAGAGTTTGGAAGGATCCTGTAGTCAGCGACAGTTCATGCTTTCGTGTTGTCTTTCCGCTCTCTCCTCATACCACGCTGTGCAGCGATGGATGGATGAACTGAGGGTTAATAAAGGAGAAGCCTGCGAACTCGCTCTGGTCAATGTTGGCGATGACCAGCTGGTCAGGAGGGGTCAGCATGGGCTGTGTGCGTGTGAAAAACTTGTCGAAGTTTTCTGCTCCTTTGCCGCCCTGAACGAGATAAAAGGAGATCAGATGTGGATAGTATTGCTATAAAACACTACAAAAACTGCACTGTGGGTTCATGATTAAACGACATTCCCTCTCAAGTCTTTCAATAGAAAGCTGCCCTCTCGCTCCCAGAGGGAAGGTGGTGCAGGACAATGTCGAAGCCTGATGTGTAGCCAGGCAGAAGTTGTAATTAGATCAGGTCCTAACCCTAAGCATGCACAGTGTAGGTCATCAGCGTCAGAGTGCAGCTTGAGGCTGTCATGTGTCTCCAGCTGAATATATATAACATATTCAGTGACATGCACAGTAGCAGCATAGTCATCACGCTTTTACAAGATAACGAGACAAAATGCTTTAGAATAAGTCATTCAAAAACAAATCTGTGGGGATTTCAGCGCTTGCACTTTTCTCAGGGGAGCAAGAATGTCAGGCATTTCCAGCTGTAATATCCAGAGATGGTAATATCACAGAAAGCCTCAGAAGGGTCTTTTGTTTGCTACTGTAGTCCCTTCAGGCCAATTAATGACGCCGCGTATGAGCTCACACATGTGCTACACCACACAAAGACCTCCTGAATGGATGGATCCTCTTTTAGCAATGTTATCCTTCCCCCCCTTTGTGAGTGGAGATGGATACTTCCGCTGTGCAGCCATGCAGTTATTGTGGCCCTTGTGTGAAAGCAAAGGGAACTCTGCCGTTAGAGAGCTATTTATAATCCTCCATGGCATGGCGGGTGTTGCTTCGGGCACAGTGGAGAGAGAGGAGTATGCCGGGGTCCACAAACTGAAAAAGAGTGTGTGTTTTGTGATGACAGGCGGAGATTTAGGTGTCTGGCGCGGGGGGGGGGGGGCAGGTGTCAGGCTGGTGACTGCAGCTGCGACCCTACCTCAAGCCCTGCTGGCTGCATGAAACCATCACACTGAGGGTGAATGGGACGCAGATATACAATATGCACGCATTCATGCAAACACAGTTAAAGGTCCCATGTCATGGCCATTTCTACTGATCATAATTCCATTGTTGAGGTTGTTAAGGAATAATTCTTCAAGATATCTAACCTTTTGCTCTGTGACGTTTTATGATCTACTCTGACGTCTGTTATCTCCTTTAAGGAAAGGCATTGGTGCCATATGTGTTGTTGTTACCAGTTTGTGACCGGTCAACTTGTCTGGCACGAATGGTAATTGTTGTGAGAACACTGAGGCACTTCTTTATCGATGTTTGTGGACTCTAAGGTGTGAAATCTTTGAGGCCATGAGTGTCGGACGCAAGTGGTTCCCAGCTGTTTAGTCTACTCCTTCAGAGATGTTGATTTCTCTCTGTGAACCAGTTAAAAGGTCTAGCATAGAGAGAGGCTCTTCAGAATTGACGTGGCAACTCTACCGTGAAGTCAGAACCTCTGACTCTTTGACTTGTGATGTGAATCCTCCGGCCGATACTCTGAATAAACCCATCAGTGTTTGACATCAAAAGCTCCAACTCTCACTGTGTCTCCTTCCTGAGTCGGTGACTCCCAATGCATTGCTACACAGAAGTTTCCCCCACAGAGGTATACTAAAATGAATTTATATTGTGCAATTTTCCAAACTCACATTGGTTTCTCATACAGCATCTCTGTATAGTATGTGTATTCACTCTCTGTCCTAAACGGCTTGTTGGAGCTCCTGCCTCCCCTCCCTGTGAGCCCAGTGGCCGTCTGCGAGACAGCGCGAAACCTAGCCCGAAACACACACACACCCGCAGCCTGGCTGGGAGTTTGTGTGTGTGCCCAGGCTGAGTTCTGCTGTGTCTCGCCGACCCCACACCAGTGAGCCAGCTCACAGTGTCCCGCTCCTCGCAGCAGCGAGCCTCGCAACGTCCCGCCGAGTGTGTGTGTGTGAGGAAGTCCGCGGATTGGTCCAAACGTAACGGCTCCGCGGACGTAACGTAACGGCTCATTTGGACCAATCTGCGGAGCCGTTACGTTACGTTACGTCACTATACCCGAAATACGGCACTACATGTATACCCAAGAAGTAAACAATGGAAAAAGAGAAATCCCCAACGAGGCGTTCTGGGGCAGCATAGACAGGTCTTTTCTGTGTTAGAGTTTTACTCGCTACAGGGTGTACTTTGAGGGTTTGTGACTCTGCAGACCGTTTACATGCATCAAAAACTACATAACACACAAGGGGATG